GTGTGTGTGTGTGTGTGTGTGTGTGTGGGTGTGTGTGTGTGTGTGTGTGAGTGTGAGTGTGTGTGTGTGTGTGTGTGTGTGTTGATGTAAACAGCGTCTCGTCGTCAGCAGCTCCTGCAGCCACATCCACGTAAGTCCTGTTCGGTCAAATCCAGATCCTCACGTTCTGCTTCAGATGATGTTTTTATTGATTCTGCAGCAGTGTGAGGAGTTCTGCCGTCTCATCGCTGATGTCCACGTCTTCAACACCGTCGGCTCAGTAAGTGACTTCACACTGACGCTCATCTGAATGTGTGCCATGATCTCTGATTCATCTGTTCACGAAACAGAACCGTCATCACAAACACCAAAACATCCTCCTCGATGCTGGAAGAGACTCCAAAACCTGCAGAGAAACCCTCGGTGGACCTGAAGCTCAGGTACGAGCTCACGTGACGCATCAAGCATGATTCAGTCTCTTAAAGGAATAGTGCAGCCAAACAATGAAGATGTGCTGTAAATGTGCTCATACTCAGTTCATCCAAAACCCAGTGACTTTAGATTCGTTCACGTTATAGAACAGAAAAATAGACGCATCTGTGAGTTTTAGAGAACTCATTATTGAACTAATCTGAAGATTCTGATCGTTCTCCTGGAATTTTGTGCAGTGCGTTCCAGAACAAACTTATAAAGCATGAAACTGAACACACGACAGCACAGATGTATTGCACAAAGCAGTTTTGGCACGAACAGAACGCCATAATTAAGGGTTACGCTCTGCTGTAGGGTTTGAGTGCTGTTCCAAGAGCCTGTGAACGTGAGCTCCAGATCCTCAATCTCACTCACACTCACACACACACTCACACTCTCTCTCTCACACACACACACACACACGTACACAGAGCTCGTCTCATTGTTTCAGGTTAATGATGTGTTGTGTGTAGAGGAGCTCATTCTCTCCTGCAGTAGACCGTTTTGACCTCAGGATTGACACGTGTTTAGATCACATGACCTGCTGAATGTTGTCCGTTCACTTTTAAATGAATTAAATTCACTTGAAATGGATGTTTTGCTGAACATGCCACATGATGATTATGTTCCTCATATTTAATAAGCTCTAAGGCTGGAGAGACACTACATGACTTCTAACATCTGAACAAACTCTAGACATCACAGCGACAGGCTCAAAATATAATATGAGAGTCTGAAGCTGAAAACTCTCAGTGTGTGTCCATCAGACACTATGTGATTACTATGATCTGATTTTCAGCAGCTAGCGTCGACCGGTCCGGACTGTAGATCCAGCCGTCAGTCTTTGATGTTCTGTGTGTCTGTGGAGTCTCGTCTTGTCCTCTCTCTGACAGAACTCACACTGACAGCACATGATCACGTCTCCATGTTACCTGCTGCTGATGTGTGGTGTGTTTGTGCTGGTCCTCAGGGCGCGGTGTGGACTCTGTTACTCTGGGTTATAGGCTGCAGGACCTCACGGATGTCCAGGTGATGGCCCGACTGCAGGAGGAGAGTGAGTGTGAGATCCAGACCCAGATCCCTCACAAAACACCTCAGGAACACGCCACAGATTCAACAGGAATGAGATGCATACAGAAAAATAAGACCAGTAAACACAGTGATTCAGATAAAAATAGTTTAATGATAAAATAGGATTTAAATGTTATGCATATAAAATATTATGCATGATTTAAATATTATATAAGAACCTTTGACATCCATGGAACTGAAGGTTATTTATAGTGACAAAAACGTTCTTTATTTTTCAATTATTAAAATGTTCTTCACATTGAGAAAACATGCTTCTTTTAGGAGCTGATCACTGAAAGGTTCTTTGGGGAAACCATAAATGGTTCTTCAAAAATCCATTAGCTGTGTTTCCAACCACCTATTTTTATGCAAATTGTGAGATATCGCATTAAAAACACGAGATGGAAATGCCAACATGTGCATCAATTCTAAAAATGTGTATAAAAAACATATGTGCTCAAATGAGTCTTTCATTTCTCATTTTTATATTTTGCGCCAGCTTCCCAGAAAGTCACGATTTTGTTCTTTTGAAAACACATGGGATGCAAATGTGCTTTACTCGCAAATGTTTTTCTAATTTTGCACATAAGTTAAATTCACAACTTTGAATGGGAACATACTGTAGCTACAATTGTTTTATTTGAATAAAAAACGGACAGAATGAAGTGCATGGCTGTAATACAGTAAAGAAAATGTAGGAAAAATATGCAAAAGATCCTAAAATGTTAATCTTAATTTAAATCATTAAATCTTATTTTAATGATCTTATTTTGTCAGGATGTGTGAGTGGAAGCATGTTCTATCACTTTAAACCACCAGAGAGTGTAAAAAGCATGTGCATGTAGAATATTAATACCAGTAATTCATCTATCTGTATGATTATGTTGTATTGTTTGTGATGTTCACCCTAAAACCACAAGACTGACATAAGAAATCACATTTCCAGAACTGAAATGTGACGTGTGTGTGTTTCTCCGTCAGGTTTGCGTCAGGACTACGCCTCCTCCTCGTCTGTGAACCGTCGCAGCGCCAGCTTCTCCTTCCAGCGCGGTGATTCGCACCTGGACGAGGACGAGGACGAGGAGGAGGATGATGAAGATTACGGTCAGTTACCGCCGCCGCAGCCGCGTCTGAGTCGAGCCGGACCGCTGCCGCATTCACACACCTTCAGCAGCATCAGGGACTGGACGCAGACGCAGACGCAGACGCACTGCAGAGACACGCAGCCCGGCCTCAGCTGCAGCTCAGGTCAGATCACGTGTGATTAGACTCATTAACTAAAGCAGAGACCAGAGTTCAGGACAGACTGTAGCTTTGTCCAAGTACCCACACTTGCGGTCTTTGCACTTGACCACTTGATTACTTATATGACGTATTTCCTGTATTTGGCCCAAGTGTTCAAGTGAGCATGAAGACCACAAGTGTGTGTCGAACTTTTCATTACCTGATGGGACACACTTGTAGTGTTGTAAAAATGCAAGTGTTTACATAGCTTTATTTTCATTTTAAATATTTTGCATTTTAAAATCAACTAAATGTCTGTTCAGTAGTTCCTATAACATGACAGTTTAATTTGTGGTGCTTCTAAATTAAGTGATAAAAAGCGGTTGCAAATGTTGTACAAGATTAATATCACCACTACTCATCTTTGCACCAATAAAACGTAAAAACACTGTTTTTCTACCAAATTATATGTAATATCTAATTATTATATTAATATTTAACTTGCATTGGAAAGGTTTCCGTGACCTCTCGCGAGATCTCGGCAAAAAGTCTCACGATTTATTTCCACTACATGATGCATGATGGGATACACTAAGCCTCGAATAGCGCTCCGGAGCGGTATTGGAGATAGTGTGGATTTAGTGTGCTTTAAGGGCACTGCGCTCTGGCGTTTTTAAGACCTGGGACAGTCTTGCGCACTTACTTCCTGTCGCGCGCACGCGCTCTCAAGTGGCCAAGACCGCAAGTGTGGGTATTTGGACAAGGGGTGTGAGTCAGTGTGAAGGAAATGATGCGTCAGAGACAAAGAAACCACATCACCATTGCAGCTCAGTATGCAAATGAATGCAAAAACCACCAATCACAGTCCAGTGTCACAAATGATGTCAGGAGACTTTTTAAAATAATTTTCAGCCGTGCATTCTAATGATATACACTACTGTTCAGAAATTTGGGGTCAGTAAGATTTTTAAGAAATTGATACTTTTATTCTTCAAGGCTGCATTACATTGATCAAAAGTACACACACACACACAGACTCACACACACACACACACACACACAGTCGTGTCTCAATCCTCTTAAAGCACATCAGATGTAATTGGGGTTTAATCTAATGTGAACATGTTTTATTAATGTTTGCGGCTCATGTTTATCTCTCATGCGTGTGATTGGCTGATCTGACAGGAAGTGCTGTTTCTTCAGATAAGCTGAGGAGGAGTATGCCGAACCTGCTGCTGTCTGCGGCTCTGAGTCCAGCGCTGCGGCCGGCGTCCGTGAAGAGCAGCCAGAGCTTTGAGTCGTGCGGTGCTCTGACTCTGACGCGTCTCCAGAGCTGCAGTACGTCTCCCGCGCATCACACCACAGCAGCAGCGTGACTGTGTCCATCTGATGGAGTGTGTCTGTCTCTCTCTGCAGTTCCTGCTCCGGCGCAGCTGCAGAACCGCGTGCAGAGCCTCGGGAGCTTCTCGTCCCGTCAGCAGCTCAAAGCCACCGCGTACGTCAGTCCCACCATCAAGAGCTCCTCCGTCAGTTTACAGAGTCTGTCTGTCAGCGGGATCCCTAAAGCAGCCGCGTCTCAGATCCCGTCTCGCAGCGGTCTCCCGCGGCCCGCGGCCTTCATCCCCAGCGGCTCCGGCCCTCGCAGCAAACTCACCGCACCCCTGCGCAGGTGAACGCATCAGATCCAGCACCGGGACCAGCTCCAGCCGCTGCAAATCCTCAAAGCTGCTTTAGTGTCAAGCTCCAAACTCATTCGGATTAAAACCTAAAATTCAGGTTGAGATGGTGAAGAATTTAGATCTGCTGACCTAAAACCGGCGGATTGAGCGTGTAAAGCAGCCGCTGGCATAAAAACCAGATTACTGTGTGCTGTTATGATTAAGCTCGACAACCGTAAACTGATTACAACCAAATGACTTATACTCACTGTAACTCAGGCCCCATTAGTTCACATCAGTGCATTAACTAACAATGAGCAGTGCATTTGTTACAGTATTTATTCATCTTGTTGATGTTAGTTAATAAACATACTGCTGATCATTGTTAGTTCATGTCAGCTCAGGTCCATCAAATAATATTAACATATGCAACTTTTGATTTTAATAATGTTTAGTAAATGTGGAAATTAACATTAAAATGAATAAATCCTTTAGAAGTATTTTTCATTGTTCGTTCATGATAACTCAAATTTATTCCATCTTATCACCAAATATTGCATTCGATCTTTTTATGAACTGATTTTCTCTAAATTAGCAGAGGTTTTGTGTTTCTTTTTGGGGCTGATTGATCGTAGTTCCTATTAATCTGAGCTCAAACCTCAGTTTATGAGTGAATATTAGCAAAATTATCCACAAATAATGCTTTTATGCTCAAAAACTGATCAACAGTCAATCAGTTCCAAAAAATAAAATAAAACAACCTGTGCTAACCGAACGAAAACAAGTTGACAAAAAGAGTGAATCCAGTATTTGGTGATGATATAAGCTGTTTAATCTAACAAGGTGGGGAAAAATCCCCAAAAAGTACAAAAATTATCAAGTTTTTTTTTTTTGGTAAGTTCCATAACTTTCAACTATTAAAAGACTGTCTTCAGAAGGAATTTAAAGTTTATTATTATTATTATTTTATTCAATTAATCGTTTACTTATTTATATTTTATTCTTATTTATTTTTCTTTATTATTATTATTTATTTATTTTTTCAAAATTTGAGTTATTTTGAGGAGTTATTTGTGTGGTTGGATTAATATGGACAGTTTTCTGTGGTTTACTGCTTTTTTATGATGTATCCTTCTATACCGTCATTGAAAATGCTAATAAAAAAGATTTGAAATAAGTTGTAAGAACCTGTGTGAGCAAAGCCAGTCAGTTTTAGTCCGGTGTGAAAACATTAACTAGCGTTTTCAGGAAAGGGAAAATCCTCAAAAAAGCGCAACAATGTGAAGAAATGGAACGTTAGTGTAAAGTGTTGCAGCTGTAACTGTATCATGTCTGTTACTGTGTAACACCGTGTGTAGACACCGGACGCAACAAAGCGACCGTTGAAAATCATTTGAAATTTGTGTCAACACGTCATAAATAGAACGCGGCAGCAGTTTTCTGTCGTGTAGACAGCATCACTGATTATAAAGAGTTCTATATGTCTATATATCTGTATATGTATCATTCTGATCAGATATGATTGTTTGATTGCTGTCTCTGTGTCTGTAGTGTGGCGCCGCTCCGCGCGCTGCGTGACGGGTGTTTCTGACGCGGCTCGGAGCGTCCTGCAGGTGTCCTCCTCTCCTCCAGAGCAGACGCAGCTCTATGCAAACACATGCTGCTAAACCAGTCGGGCTGGAACTCAACAACCTGAAACGGTTTGTACGATTGCTTGAAGTTGGAATATGATTCACTTTTTATGATTTCAAAAGTTTTAACCAAATCTCAACAGGTTTTTAACTATTCACAGGTATGAAAGACTTTAATGTGAATATGTTTATATGATTAATAGTGCTTTTAATAACTTCTCACACTCTTAATCACTGATCTGTATGGACCAATTATTGCACCATTTGTAAACGTATTAATGTTTTGATTATAATTGTTCTTGTTGTATTAATTTGATGTTGCACTTTCACTGTTAATGTTTATTTTATCGTTGCAGGATGCTTTTTAAAGGCCACAGGTGTAGCACTGTATTTATTTGAAAGTTATCTTCTCATCTTGTTTTTTTTTATTTATTATGTAAAATATATTTAAAAGAGCGTTCTTCATGTTTGCACATCGTTTTTGTAAATGCGCCACAGTTTTCTTCTTAAATATTTCTCTGTGACTGATATTTTAATGGGTGTGTCTGTATTTAAAGTCCAAATAAAGTTTTGTTTGTTTTTTATGATTGTGTGCTGCTGATAGCTTTATTTCTGTTCTGGGAATCCAAACATCAGACTGCTTTACTCGTATAGTCTCAGTGTTGGGGTAACGCACATCATGTAATCAGATCACTTTGTTCAAGTAACTAGTGAAGTAATGCATTACTTTTTCATTTACAGCTCTCCTGTCCTCATGTTGAGAGGAATCAGGAGTTCTGCCATATTGCCATTGTCCTTTGGCCCTTGTATTGTTTGACCCATGACCAGTGTTGGGGGTAACTCAAGTTAAGTAATCAGATTACTTTCTAACTTTTTAGAAAACTTACCAAAAAAACTTACAAAAGTTTTTAACTTACAAAAAAATATCTTAGTTACTTTTTCAAATAGGTAACGCCAGTTACTTTGTTTTCTCATATATTGACTGACAGCTCTCCTGTCCGCATGTTAGTAAATGCAGAGGCGTTGTGTGTGCTGTGTGAACATGATGTTACTGTAGTTCTAGACTAAATGTCAACATGCATTTACTCATCTCAGAATATGATGCAAACCTGCAATATGTTAAATAACACAAATATCCTTTATGTATTTAATCCCATTTTATTAACCAGTATCTTTGCTGCTGACCTTCAGTGATCCAATTCAACCATACTAACAAGCAAAAATGACTTTAGATAAATATAACATTTGTGTTTCTTTTCTTTTTTTAACAGTGTTGAACTGAAAGCTGAAGGTTTGTTTGAGCGGCGCCCTCTACTGTACAGTACTGTAATCTGCATTTCCTTCAGCCTGAGGCGCATTCATTTCACCTTTGCTGTGAAAGGGTTTTACATTTGCCAAAAATAGAACTTTTTATATTCAAAACAATCAAGCAAGCCCAGCCCAGATGAGAAAAAAGTAACGCATTACTTTACATAAAAAGTAACTAGGTAATGCAATTAGTTACTTTTTTAGGGAGGAACGTAATATTGTAACGCATTACTTTTAAAAGTAACTCTTCCCATCACTGTATAGTCTAGACTACTAACCACTAGTAATCAGTTAATTTGATTTTGATACTATTATAGTTTTTATTAATATTTTGATTCAGTTTTTAATTTGTTTAAATTTGATTTCAACACATTTCACGTGTTTTTGACATTTTTAATAGTTTTTGTTTTCATCTAGCTGAAATAACATTTTTTAAATATTTTATTATATTTTCAAGTAATATTATTTTTTATGGTTTTAATTTTAGTTTTAGTTAACTTAATAACTGTGCTAATCAACCCATGTGCTGCTGGTTGACTGGATTCATTCAGGGTCTTGATGAGTAGTAATTTCTGTCCTGATGAGTCTCTTTACTGATGTTTTCTATGTAGATTCACTCCATCTCTCTTCAGTGCGAGAGAATTTTTAGCCCAAATTTAAAACATCTATTTGATCTCACTCAGGCTTTGGGCCTTTATGATATATTATTTAACACAACTGAAGTAGGACTGACGATCGCCTCATGTTTAATAAGATTTAATCTTATTAAAGTGAATCTTCTGGACTCGATATAAATCTCTAACAGCGTTTATGAGAGTTATTTCTGTTTGTTTCTATTCCTGTGGTTCTCGTGTGTACATCTATAATAATAACATGATTAACGATGAAGCCGAGTAATTTACAATCCGAGTTAGGCAATCTTCAATTATATTGATAAATATCGAAAAACAAACCTTCCCATACCGGGAGTCGAACCCGGGCCCTGTCCTGATGAGTCTCTTTACTGATGTTTTCTATGTAGATTCACTCCATCTCTCTTCAGTGCGAGAGAATTTTTAGCCCAAATTTAAAACATCTATTTGATCTCACTCAGGCTTTGGGCCTTTATGATATATTATTTAACACAACTGAAGTAGGACTGACGATCGCCTCATGTTTAATAAGATTTAATCTTATTAAAGTGAATCTTCTGGACTCGATATAAATCTCTAACAGCGTTTATGAGAGTTATTTCTGTTTGTTTCTATTCCTGTGGTTCTCGTGTGTACATCTATAATAATAACATGATTAACGATGAAGCCGAGTAATTTACAATCCGAGTTAGGCAATCTTCAATTATATTGATAAATATCGAAAAACAAACCTTCCCATACCGGGAGTCGAACCCGGGCCGCCTGGGTGAAAACCAGGAATCCTAACCGCTAGACCATATGGGAGCCATGCAACACTAGCGGCCTGATGGCGTCTTATAGTAACTATAGATCAGAAACCTGACCGTGTGAGTGCGAGACATCATTCTATAGTTTTAATGTTGTCTATAATTATTGAGCAATCATTCACTACTGTATTATTCAGTCTTTCAGTTTTAGTTGAGCATTTCCGATCCTGCATCGCAGTGAGTGACGTCATCTCGCAGTGCCAGCAGTGAGCACTCATCAGTGAGCATGTAGATGCCAGTAACGTTTAGGTACATTTAAGCGATTTGAAGTTTTCGTCCTTCAGCATGTAAGTAATCACGAGCATTTTAATCAGAACTCGTGCATTCGAGCTGTAATTCACGCGCGGTTATTCACAGTATACATATAATAGAGTCTCTTTGTTTGTGTGTGTGTGTGATCAAGGGCTGATTACTGGAAATCACAGCCGAGGAAGTTCTGTCAGTACTGCAAATGCTGGATCGCGGATAATAAGCCCGTGAGCGAGTGCAGACACGCATTACAGCGCTTCATGTGTTTTGTGTTCATAAATAGAGTTTTTTTCTCTTGTTTTTATCGCAGAGCATCGAGTTCCACGAGAGAGGGAAGAATCACAAAGAAAATGTCGCGGCCAAAATTTCAGAGGTAAGGCAAGAAGATCTGCTGCGATCAGAATGCAACACTAGTGTAGTGCATACTGCATGCTGCATACTACACAGTGCGCACTGCAGTCTAGCGGATGTTATGTGACTCTTAAATAACTGAGTGTGTGTGTGTGTGAGTGTGTAGGCGTGTGAGTGCGAGTGTGTGAGTGTGTGTGTGTGAGTGTGTGTGTGAGATCAAGCTGCTCCTCACAGTTCTCATGTCTCTACAGGTGAGAGTGTGGCTCCGTCAGAAGCTCCTGTTAAAAAGCAGAAAAAACCCAAGAAACTCAAAGCGAGCGTCCCGTCTGAGAGCAGCGGCGGCGGCCGGCCGGACGTCTGGCTGAGAGGAACCACAAACAATGGCCTGCTGTATTACTACAACACCGTCACTGGAGGTGAGCTGATGTTTGAGATGCACACGTGTGTCCGTCCGAGTCCATCATCACTGACTGTGTTTGATCTCAGAGTCTCAGTGGGAGAAACCAGACGGGTTTGTGGATGAGAGCTCGTCATCAGCCGCAGGACAAGCGCAGGTAAAACCGTCTGTCTGTGAGTCTGAGGTTCACGTGTTCAGATCTAATGTCATGTTTACGTGCGGCAGGATCTGTCAGGCGGTGCGTGGATGGAGGCCGTGAGTTTTGATGGATACATGTACTACTACAACACTGAGAGGGGCGGTGAGAAAACATCTGAACACATTCAGCTTCACATCATAGTATGCATTAGACAATATAACCCTGTAAACTGTAAATGATCAAGCTGTTAAACCTGTTTCACACTCAATCTCCTAGCATTGCATTATATGTTTGGAGCATTTCAATCTCATTTTACTGAGACAGATTACTGGGATATAGAGCGACGACTGATATTTAGATAATTTTATGTCAGTATCTGCTGTACTGTAAGAAATATCTCACTGATTTACATTACAAACATATAAGATAGCAGCAGCTGCAGTAAATTACATATTTTTGCTCAGTTTGAGTCTCTGAATGAAATTGATCTGTTTTTTCCTCCATATTCTCACTATATCAGACTATATGAGCCTGATGGATCAAGCATGATACATAAAATAAAAAACTTTTATTTGTAAGTGTTCAATATTCTGTTCCATCTCCAAATCTTTACATTTTCCTGACTATTATTTCATATGTCAGGCTTTACTTTCCTAAGCTGTTTGTCTTATCCTGAGCAGAGTCCATCTGGGAGAAACCAGATGATTTCAGTGCAGAGGATGATGTTGCTCCTCCTGGTGTTGAATCTCCTCGTGAGGAGACGGGAGCAGCAGAAGATCCGTCTCCTCCTCAGCCTGAGTCTGTGTCTGGAGCTGAAGACACATCTGACCCTCCTAAAGACACTCCAGAACCAGACGAAACCAAACAAACCAGCCTCTTGAAGATCAGTTTCAGGGTGAGACGCTGTCGGGCACATTCACACTCACCGTATGACATCATAAACACTCACCGTATGACATCATAAACACTCACCGTATGGCATCATAAACACTCACCGTATGGCATCATAAACACTCACCGTATGGCATCATAAACACTCACCGTATGACATCATAAACACTCACCGTATGGCATCATAAACACTCACCGTATGGCATCATAAACACTGTATGGCATCATAAACACCATATGACATAATAAACACCGTATGGCATCATAAACACTCACAGTATGACATCATAAACTCACTGTATGACATCATAAACACTGTATGACATAAACACTCACCGTATGACATCATAAACACAGGATGACGTCATAAACACTCACCGTATGATAAACACTCACTGTATGGCATCATAAACACTGTATGACATAAACACATAAACACTCACTGTATGACATCATAAACACTCACCGTATGATAAACACTCACTGTATGGCATCATAAACACTGTATGACATAAACACTCACCTTATGACATCATAAACACTCACCGTATGACATCATAAACACTCACTGTATGACATCATAAACACTGTATGTCATAAACACTCACCGTATGACAAACACTCACCGTATGACATCATGAACAACACTGTATGACATCATAAACACTCACTGTATGATATCATAAACACAGTATGACATCATAAACACTCACTGTATGATAAACACTTACTTACTGTATGGCATCATAAACACTGTATGACATAAACACTCACTGTATGACATCATAAACACTCACCGTATGACATCATAAACACTCACTGTATGACATCATAAACACTGTATGTCATAAACACTCACCGTATGACAAACACTCACCGTATGACATCATGAACAACACTGTATGACATCATAAACACTCACTGTATGATATCATAAACACTCACCGTATGACATCATGAACAACACTGTATGACATCATAAACACTCACTGTATGATATCATAAACACTCACCGTATGACATCATGAACAACACTGTATGACATCATAAACACTCACTGTATGATATCATAAACAGTACGATAAATCGCATGCGATATTTACGTGCGTGCTTTCACATTGAGCAGCATTTACTACACAGAGCCGTTTTTCATTGACAAGTTGTGCAAAACCACGATCATATTTTGCTCATGTTTTGCGCAGCTCGTCTGTGAACAACGGCTCTGTGTAGTTAATGCTGCTCAATGTGAAAGCACGCAGGTGATGGAGATTTACCGCTGATTACAGAACCGGCTTTACTGACAAGATGCGCATTAAATATCGCATACCATTTATCGTGCAGCCCTAATAAACACTGTATGGCATCATAAACACTCACCGTATGACGTCATAAACACGCACAGAATGACATCATAAACACTCACCGTAAGACATAATAAACACACACAGAATGACACGTCTGTGTGTTTGATCTCCACACAGAAAAGTAAAGAAGAACTGGTCAAAACGTCAGCGGATGATGGAGAGAGAAGCTCGGATGATGGCGGAAGTGGTGAGGAGAAATGGGAAGGTTCTGCCGTGACTGACACAGTGAAGAAGGACGAGACGCCTGTGAAGAGACCCAGAAAGACCAATCCATACGGAGCCTGGGAACAGATCCAGCCGCAGGAGGATCCATAGTAAGGCACACGTGCTGTTATCAGTTATTTAATTCATCAGAAGCTGCTCCGATCGCTGCAGTGTGTTCATGACACCAGTTACTGAACAGAAACCAGATTGTTGACAACAAGCCTGATGAGTTTTTCTAAAGCTATTCATGGTAATATTAATAAATGATTAAAATATGAATAAATACATTTTAAGTCCGGCATGAAATGTAAATTCATCATATCACATCATATGCATGTTATTGGCTTTATTGTGAATGATTCATCCGTTTAATTTATTTTTTACCTCCTAATTTTTTATCAAAATGTCAAAACTGGCTCTTCCAGTGAAACGACAGACATCTTCTAATCATTTAGTCTGGTTTAACTCCGCCCCCTTACAATCCAATGCACTCGCATTCAGATCCGCCCCGGTTTTCAGAGCCACACCCACATCTCAACATCCAATCACCAACCAGTGCATAGAACCAAGCCCCGCCCTACATTTTCTTCTTTTGTGATAAAACATTTCTTCCAGTGTGGAAGATGTGTTGCTACTTATGTTTCCTTGCAGCTTTTTTAACATTTGACTTTTAAGGACATAGTTGTCAGTTTGTTTTATAATGAACACGTTTAGTGCCGTGTCGTGACGGTGTGTTCAGCTCCTGACGATTGTTCGTGTTCTGCTCCGCAGCAAGAAGGTGGATCTGCAGCTGCCGCAGGTGGAAAGCGTCGCTCAGACTCCAGCCGACGTCCCTCCGGAGCCCAGGGCCAGATTCAGGGAGCGCACCATCACGTCGCTGGGGGCCGAGAGCAGCGCCGGAGCCACGTTCAAGAAGAGGAAGACTGAGAACGGCAAGTCCAGGAGCCTCCGGCAGAGAGAAACAGACGAGTAGAAGCTTCTCCACGGGACGATAGGACTGAGACGAGTCTTGCTTCAGAATTTTTTTATTTTATATATTATTGGCAGATGACGTTTAAACTGCCTTTAGCTGCTTTAAAATACATTCTTGTGAATATTTCCAGGGATCAGTTTTGTTTCCGGATGTTTAATCTGTCTGGTGTGAGCGAGTGTGTCGTGTGTGTTTTCACAAAATACAACTTCTACTGACAGCTATTATATGTATAGCCAACTTCTGCTGGCGTGCATGTACTCACATGAAGTGATTTAACGTAACAAGCAAATCTCAACTGCTTGATCATTGTGCCTCCAAATTAAATACCATTGTATCATCCATAAAAAGGCATAGAAATATAAACATTATGAGCAGCACAAATAAATCCGCCAGCTGACTCATGAGGTTAGTCTTTATCTGACGTCTAGTGTGTTTTCTCTGTTGCTTTATTGGCTGGATGTCATTCGGTTCAGTTAATGCTTTCTGTTCTCACTGAGTTAGCAGAACCTCTCAGAGAAGTAATGAATGATATTTGGTCAACAGGAAAAGTCTAAAACATTGCAGTAAAAAAGTTAAGTTGCTTAAGATTGCTTAAGCATAATTAGTAATTATGTATCGTCTCTCTCCCAAACTAAAACTAGTATAGCACATTATGATCTTTGAATGTTAAACTCCATCAGAGAAATGACATTCCTCAGAGATGGAAAGGCTTTATTTAGATGTTACACTGTAGAAGGGTTATATTGAAGAATAATAAATATATAAATAAATAAGAATAAAGTGAGAATTATATTCAAGAATAAAGCGAGAAAGAATAAATATATTTAATATATATACATATATTTATATATAAATAAGAATAAAGCCAGAATTATATTGAATAAATTGAGAAAGAATAAATATATTTAATATATTATATGTGAAAATATATAAATAAATAAAGCAAGAAGAATAGAGAAAAACTGACAACTGTAACATTTCAACCCGCTTAACATTAGAAAAATGTATTTATACAAATTTAAAAAATGCAACTATTATAACCTATCGTTTCAGATGAGTTCGAATGAGTGTGAGAACTACACATGTACACTGTGCCCTCTGCTGGCAGCACACGGAACTGCACTCGCTCCACTTTACCCAGAATGCACCGCTCGCTTTAAACACAACACATCGCCATTTTCCGCGGAGTAACTGGGTCACGAGACGCGCGGGAAACACTCGAAGCGACCTTCACTACAGCCGCCGGTCTGAGCGCGAGGATCCGCCGCATCGACCGAGAGCCAATGATCGTGTTCGGCGGGGCCGGGCTGAAGGCGACACCGATCACCGATCAACACACGAGCAGCGCTGCGACACAGGTACCGTTACCGAAAACAGGCGACAGTAGTGCGATTAAGCGCGGGACGGACACAAACGCGATCCGCTTCAGACGCGTCTGTCGTGATTTACTCGCGTCGCGTCGTTCTGCGACTTTATTCAGATGTTTAGCAGAATGTTCGCGCTGCTCTGAGGCCTCAAGATCCACGTGACCACGAAAAGCACGTGACTCGCGCACCCTCGTCTTCAGTCATGTTTTAGTTTTGTGTGAAGAACAGATCAACTCTTAAGCTATTATTTGTCAAATTAGTTTGGTTAAACAAGGCCAGGTGTGTGTGTGTTTATATATACTTCCGTTCAAGAGTTTGGGGTCAGTAAGATTTTTATCAAGGCTGCATTTATTTGATCAAATATTGTAACATTTGATATTTCAGTTTTTCTTTTTTAATAAATCTGCAAAAATGTCAACAATTCTGTGTTTTTCTGTCAATATGGGGTGCTGTGTGTACATTAATGAGGAAAAAAAATTAACTTAAATGATTTTAGCAAATGGCTGCAATATAACAAAGAGTGAAAAATTTAAGGGGGTCTGAATACTTTCCGTACCCACTGTATATATATATATATATATATTAGTGCTGTTAATTGATTGTAAAACAGCTAGTTATAATTAGTTGCAATTTTTTTGTGATTAATTGTATATTAATATAATATATTTATATTGTCATAATTTCACATCCTCCACATTTATGTGGAAACAACATAAAGATGGTATATTTTACATACCATATGTGTTTAATATATGCAGATTAATGCTGCTTTAATATTAATGTGTTCAGTGTTTTTCTCACACACAGCTGGTGCTTGATTCGTTGATGATGATGATGATGTCAAGCGGGGCGTTGTTGCGTTTCTTTCCATGTTTATTTAAGTCACGCATGAGTGTTCGTGGCAGTTGCTGTTCATCATCGTGTGTTGTTAGATGAACAAGATGATCTCAGAAGATCACAGCAGATCCGGTTTAATCACAGGGAGTTAAAGAAAAGACTGTTGAGAAAAAGATGTAAACATTCACTCGGGCTGTGTTCTCAATAACACACCTCAGTTAGTCACTACTGCTGCAGTGTGTAGTATTGCACTGAAGACTGAGAGACTGTATCCCACAATGCAATTTCAGTATAATTATTTACTTTATCTGATATTTTCACAAACATCATGATGAGGTCATGTGACTAGAGTGTAGCATACTTATGTTTCTAGTATGCAAGCTTTTTTATTTATATATAGGTTAGTTATTTAATTTTCGCTTTCTTGTTGGTACTTGTCATATCTGTGGCAGATGCTATAAACAGTTAAACTGTCCCATCATGCAGTGCGTAGTACACTAGTATTGCATTCTGAACGCAGCCACTCTTGATGTGTGTGTTTTCAGAATGAAAAGAGGCCAGAAGGGAGGTGATAATGCGGAGGAGGGCGGCGGGTCGGGGCCGGGCCCCGGGGCCCCTGAGCTCTGTAAGCGGCTCCGGCAGGGAGACTCTGAGGACGGGGCGGTGGACTGGAGGCAGCTGCCCGAGGAGATCCTGCTGCAGATCTTCCAGTACCTGCCTCTGCTGGACCGGGCCTTCGCCTCGCAGGTGTGCCGCGGCTGGAACCAGACCTTCCACATGCCTGAGCTCTGGAGGTGCTTCGAGTTCGAGCTCAACCAGCACGCCAGCTCCTACCTGAAGGCCACGCATCCAGACCTCATCAAGCAGATCATCAAGCGCCACTCCAACCACCTGCAGTACGTCAGCTTCAAGGTGAGACTGTCGCTCTGTCACTGCGGGGCGATCTAGAAGGTGTCTGAGGGGACGTGTGCTCCTGACGTGTGTGTGTGTGTGTGTGTGTTCAGGTGGACAGCAGCACTGAATCTGCAGAAGCGGCATGTGACATCCTCTCTCAGCTGGTCAACTGCTCGCTGAAGACACTCGGGCTGATCTCCACCGCACGACCCTCCTTCATGGAACTGCCCAAAGTACGTCACACACACACACTCCATCTCTCTCTCACACACACACACACACTCACACTCCGTCTCTCTCTCACACACTCACACACTCCATCTCTTTCTCTCTCACACTCACACAAACACACACACTCCGTCTCTCTCTCACACACACACTCCATCTCTCTCTCTCACACACACACACTCCATCTCTCTCTCACACTCACACACACACACTCACACACACTCCATCTCTCTCTCTCTCTCTCACATACTCCACTCTCTCTCTCTCTCTCTCTCTCTCTCTCTCTCTCTCTCTCACACACACACACACACACTCTCACACACACACAGTGGAGTTCTCCATCTCTCAGGTTCAGTCTCACCAGAATCAGCTGTTGTCTTTGTCTCCTCAGTCTCACTTCATCTCGGCGCTGACGGTGGTGTTCGTGAACTCTAAGTCTCTGTCGTCCCTGAAGATCGACGACACACCGGTGGACGACCCGTCACTCAAAGTGCTGGTGGCCAACAACAGCGACACGCTGAAGCTGCTGAAGATGAGCAGCTGCCCACACGTGTCTCCTGCAGGTCAGCTGGACGGTCATGACACGCACACACACACACACACACACACTCACTCACTCACACGCAATCACTTTCATGGCATGTTTCACACCGAATGAACAAAAAGTGAAGAATATTTGATACTTTCAAATAATATGCACATACGTGATGATACAAAATAAGCATTCGCCTGCATATAATTTTACAGTTTAGTATATGATAAAATATTACACACAGACTTTTGTGAACATTTTGGAGTGCCTAAAACTAATGGCAAATTGAGTCAATTTGTTAAAAATAGACACTTTGAACCTGAAACAAATCATTTAAAAATGTCAGCTATGTTATCGCCCAGCAGTGTATTAAAAGTTTGAAATCTAGTACATCCAACTTTATCTTACATGCATACAGTACACTCACCAAAAGTGATATATACTATATATCAAATCTCAAGTGTGTGTTTGTTTATATCATTGCAAAATGTAAACTATATTATCGTCCAGCTCTAATCTGCTAAATGTGACTACAGGACATAATAAGACATAAATATTAACATCAGGATTTCCTCTTAAGTTGCATTTAAACTATTTGCATTGTACAATGTGCTTTATAACTAATTTTGACTCCACTTGTCTCAAGCTCTGCGGTTTTAATTAAAACAGTTTAAATCAGTTTTTAGGGAACGTAATGGTGAACGGCTGAGAGTGATTGTGAAAGTTGGGTATTTGATCAGAGTGTGGTGTGAGTTATCTAGACTTCTGGAGCTGAGGAGGTGTGCTGGTGCTGACGTGTACTAACGGCGTGTGTTTGTGCCGCAGGGATCCTGTGCGTGGCGGATCAGTGTCACGGTCTGCGCGAGCTAGCGCTCAACTACCACCTGCTGAGCGACGAGCTGCTGCTAGCGCTGTCGTCCGAGCGTCACGTTCACCTGGAGCACCTGCGCATCGACGTGGTGAGCGAGAACCCGGGCCAGCAGTTCCACTCCATCAAGAAGAGCAGCTGGGACGCCATGGTGCGCCACTCGCCCAAGTTCAACCTGGTCATGTACTTCTTCCTGTACGAGGACGAGTTCGGGCCCTTCTTCCGCGACGAGGTGCCCGTCACGCACCTGTACTTCGGCAGCTCCGTCAGTAAAGAGGTTCTGGGCCGCGTGGGGCTGACCTGTCCTCGGCTGGTGGAGCTGGTGGTGTGTGCTAACGGCCTGAGACCCCTGGACGAGGAGCTGATCCGGATCGCAGAGCGCTGCAGACAGCTGTCGGCCATCGGCCTGGGCGAGTGTGAGGTGTCCTGCAGCGCATTCGTGGAGTTCGTCAAGATGTGCGGCGGCCGGCTCACGCAGCTCTCTATCATGGAGGAGGTTCTGGTGCCTGATAACAAGTACGGGCCGGACGACATCCACTGGGAGGTGTCCAAACACCTGGGCCGCGTCTGGTTCCCCGACATGATGCCCACCTGGTAGCACGCAGCCAGAGACTCGCAAGTCCTCGGACAGACTGCAGCAGCGCTAGGCCTGGGACAATAAATCAATGCATCGTGATCGATTCTGAGCTTAGTTTTCAACAGCAGATGGCGCTCTAGGCTAGGTTTTAATTGCACACTCAAATGCTCACGAAGAAGAGCGCTTGTGCGTTGTAAGTGGTTAAATGTACTTGCACATCGGCTTTTATGATGCGAGATTAAACGCAGCCCACTGTGAACATCCTTGTAATTCGCTTCAACCTTTTCGAACTTTATGAATGATTATTTTAGGTTCAAGTGGTGCGTGTGTAAGGAACTGGAAGCAAGCAGAATACGGCTGTTTCTAAAGCACGCAGCGCCATCTGCTGTTCAAAACTAAGCTCAGAATCGATTCAAGAGAGAATCACGATGCTTTCGGAAAATCTCAGAATTGATGCAGAATCATTTCGCGATGCATCGATGTATTGTCCCAGGCCTAAGCAGCGCTGGTGGATTCTGTTGGTTTTCTACATTTGGAACAGAACTCGCGAAGCGTTTTCAGACGCGCTCCGCGTGTTTTCTACTCTCTAGTCACCGCGACTGACGCGAGGACGATCGTGTGTGTTCGTATTTAAACGTACGTGTCGTTTTTACTCTCAGCAGCTTGCGCGCTCATGTTTCGTGTTGGTTTGCGGCGGATGAAGGCGAGACGTTCATTTCAAGCACTTTTACCAAATGAAGTTTCAGCTCGAGGCGAATCGGATCATGTTTTGATTCTTCCGCTCGTGACTCATTCTAACTAGGGCTGCACGATAACTTAACAATTTTGCTCAAAAATATAATCACAAGTTTTAATTTATTTCATCAGAATTATTATATTATATACAGCAGGGCTCGGCATTAAGACTTGACTTGTGCATCATGTCCGGAGGGAAAAGTTTTTTTTTTGGCGTAACTGTGATTCATTCTGAAGCAATAGTCTCATCAGGTCTTACTTTAATCAGCATATTTGTGATATTTGCCTTAAATTGATTTCTAGGACACTTTTTAACTTTATGAAGGGCAATATTTTCTTAACCTTATTTGATGTACATGTCGTCATTTACGTCAAATTCGTACATTTTGTCAATACATTCGGTTAGAATAATAAGACACTGTATGGTTGTTATCAGTCAGATGAAATCAGTATCGTTCCACTGCAGAGAAACACAGAAGCTGCATCAGAAGTGCCGTTTAGATGTATTTACTCGCTGTTTGATGAAGATAAGAGGATCCATAAATGCATTTACACCGTAAAATTGCAAATGCATAAATAATGTTACAAGATTAATAGTTTTACTTTTTTTAACATACAAATATGAAATGTTGGAAAAATGCATTGATACTTTTAAATATGAAACCAAACCCCCAGTAGGTGACGGCAAGTCTTAATGAGTGAGTCATTGATTCATCCGATTCGTTCAAAGACACTCAATCATTCAGTAAATGAAGCAAGTGACTGTCTTTATGAACGGCTCACTGAATCATTGACTCACCCGATTCGTTCAAAGACACTGAATCATTCAGTAACGAAGCACTGTTGTGTGTTGCTCATGCGCGACTGTTCTGCTGCGGCTTTGCTTAGAACTGTTTCGTTAGTGAAATCAGTCAATAATGTGTCTAAAATGTAAGTCAGTTAATATGAACTACTGGTTTATTGAACTACTGTTGTATTACTGTTGTGCAATCGTGCTGATAGTCGGGAAAACATCACTTTTCATCATGGTTTGCTCACAGACTGCTGTAGTTTGATCAGAATATCTCCCGTTCGCCCGTGTTTTGAGCTCATCAGCGCAAGGTTGCCAGGTTGGGAAGATTAAGTAGAACACTAAGCAGAAAACGTATTGGTTTTAGAGAAAAGATTCTGGCAACCGCAGCCATGAACGCTTGTGGAAGCTCGTTACCAATGCAGATGTCTAATTAAAATGAAACCTTTTCAAGATAAATGACCAAATATTGCACGATTATGCTTAATAAATCAAGAGCAGCAGAGATGGTGATCACAGTTAAGTATGATTGATCGTGCAGCCGTATTTCTATCCGTCAGCGGGTTGCTTTGATTCTCCGTCACAGATTCTGTTTGACTCTGTTTGACCGTTTGATTACATATTATTCACACAACAGCAATAAATCATTAATAATTCATAAAGTATCCTTCTGCTTCTATACAGTCAGAAAGTCTGTCAGTTTCACACAGACAGCAGTCAGTGGTCAGGAGGATATAATTACACAGAAAACACAGCATTTGAGCTCTGGATTGACGGAAATCATTTCAGTTTAAGAAGTGTTTTCTCAGCGTCTCAACACTGCATCAACTTCTGATGAACAAACTCATGTTTAATCACTCCGTGGGTTATTTAACCTTGTGTTACTGTGTCTTTGCAAGGCTTTTGTCTTTCAAACACATTCAAATGCTCAAATTCACGTTATTTCTTAATTACATGTAATGCAGGGATTCATAAACTTTTTTTGTCTTCTCTTTCACGTAATATATTTACTTGAACTACCCCTGAGATTTTAAGGTAATAAATGAATAATTAAGTAACACATTTGCATGCTCGCGGTTCTGTGACGATCATACAACAAATTAAATGGTTCATTTTTTTTAGTAAGTGTTTTATTTTGCTATTTTAAAAATGGTTTCTGTCTCAAACAGACGGCGTGGATGCTCGTATCTGCAGCTCCTTCGGTTCATTAGTTATCAAGCGATATATTACAGGAACAGACGCAGATCCCATTCAGATCTTTTCCCTGCACTTTATATAGAAATGTACTTATGAGATTATCGGTTGTGTCAATATTTCTCCTGATGACTAATATTGTTGTTGTCA